TATGATCATTTCTCTGGTTAATCCAATTTTTATAACTTGTATTATTGGCTTGATTTCATCATAAAGTATCTCGGCTGGTGCTGAATAGAATTTTATATAGAAAAGGGTTCCTTTAGTTATTCTTTTGTAGTTCATGAATGCTTTTTGTAGTTCCAGTATCGTAGCTATCTCCTCTCCTGTTTGGGTATATACTGTGTTTAGTAATCCATAGTTGTAGCAAGTTGCTACTAGATTTGCATTTGTCTTTGGCAAGGCAATTAGTTTATTATATCCTTGTAACCAAGCATGTTGCCGCCAGAAGCAGAACCCCGAGGTTTGGGTGATATAATCTTCGTGTGGATTTTGGGTAGTTTTAGATCTGGGGTTTTTGTTTAAAAAGGTTTGTATTTTGTGAATATTTTCTACCTAAGAATCCAAAGAAAAACAAATATCTGAAATAATAATTAATGATGAAGAATATACCCAAATAGATTACATAGATTATGAACTAGAAAGTGATGATAGTATATATGAATTTGAGTCACTTGAAAATGAAATATCTGAAATTGAAATAGAAGAAATAACGATGAACTGAAAAAGACGTACAAATAATAAAGAAAGAAGAATATATAAATGAAGAATCTACAGAACAAAAAGTAATATTTGATATTAATATATTTGAACAAATAAAAGGAAACATAGACATCATAGAACTAAAACGAATAATATGGGAAAAGATATTCGAAGAAGAAGAGGAAGAATTAATGAATCAACTATGGTACAAAATAAATGAAATTCCAGAATTTAACTTAAGTGATTACTTTCAAAGGTACTTACTTCCTAACAGCGCCTCAACAACGTTTACTCCCCTCACGGCTTCTCTTGCCTATGGTTTCAACCTTAGGATGGCATAGTCATCTATTTCTCTTTTTCTGTCAATTTCTTCATTTTCTTTATTTATTCTTACCATAGCAGTTAAACTATCTTCTAATTTTACTGTTTCTTTTTCTATCATTAGATATAAGTTTTCCCCTATCTTCTTGTATCTTCTTCCTAGATTTGAAAATATTATTTTTATTTTTAATCCTTCAGGATTTTCGTAAGTTTTTTCTTCTATAGCAAATTCTTCCCTCTTCTTCTTCGAATATCTTTTCCCATATTATTCGTTTTAGTTCTATGATGTCTATGTCCTTTAATCCCAGACGTACAGCTGGAATAAGCACGAGACCAACAAAATAAAGAGAAAAAGCTATTGTCAGCTAATGGTAGAAGATAGTGGAAAAGTGGAAGATAAGTTTAACACCCATTCCCCGGCTTACACTATTTTATCCTTTTCATTTCTCACATTTGGGACTTAATCCAGTATCTAAAGTCCATGGACAAGAGCTTGCCATGGTTGCCAAGTTCTTGTTCTCTCTTTCAGTTGAAGCCATTTGAAAGAACAGATCTATAAAGAAAGAACAAGAGCAAAAATGTACTTGTAAATTACTTCACTTAAAATTCTACACTTATCTCATTTATTGGGACTAGCTTCATTGAAAATTTCAGGCACATTTGCAACATTCTTGCTTTCATCCACAGCAGGTAGGTTTTGTCTCTGTTAAAAGATAAACGGTTTTAAAGTTAGGACTAAAAGTTCACCCCTTTATCAAAGAAGAGGAACTATTAGTGCTCCATACAAAAGAAATAGGATCATTTGAGCCTAGTCCAAAGATAATAGACTATTTTGAGACTTCCTCCTCAACAAAAGATAACTTTGACTATTATCTCAAAAAAAGAAATTTATTATCTCAAAACAAAAGATAACTTTGACTAATTAGTTACTTATTACACAAATAAACAACAGTATGAAGTACTGTGATCATAAGCTTTTCTTCTGTCCTTTATTTTGGATAGCTAATAAGAAAACAATAGTCAGAATGTAGAGAAAGAGCAGGGCTAGGACTCTGACCTAGAGCACAAACAATATTTATTAGGGGTAGTCACCTAAATTATTTTAGATCACTCAAAGATTAGCACAATGGTTCAAGCAGCTAAAATTTCATGTACACTTAGTAGCTACAGAGAGCAAATTTTTCAACAGCAGAACAAAGTAATAGGTATACACAAAACCTAATTACTACTGAGTTTTGACCAATTGCATTTCCTACTGAGTTTTGACCAATATTTAGCATAATTTGCAAATTTTAATTCTGGCCCAAGACATTTGGCATGGTACCCTGCGTCAAATTACTCACAGAAGGAAGTGCAGGAGCCAAGCTAGCAGAATTTTGCAGCCCAGTTGATGCCATGTTGTTCTGAAGGTTTTGCTGCAACAGTGGTTGTCGTGTTTGAGTTTGATTGGCCACTGTAGGTACAGGAAGTTGCTGTGCTTGGCTGTTGACTTGGGATTGCATGTTGTGCGATCCTACAGAAATGAATCAAAAAGAAACCAATCAAGATGCTATCAAATAATTAGCAAACATAATTGAAAGAAATATAGGAGAAAAATATTATTGAATTATGTATCTACATTATTACATAGAGACTATTTATAGACACTACAATACAATCCTTTACCAAGTAGGATACTATTTACTATTCCTATTTCTATTACTACTCCTATTCTTATTTTAAAGAGGATTGTATAAACCTATTCTTATTCTAACACTCCCCCTCAAGCTAGTGCATACAAGTCATGTACCTAGCTAGTTACAAATGTAATCAACACGAGGACCGATGAGGGGTTGGTGAGATATCTGCAAGTTGATCATTCGACTTCATCAATTTCAATGTTCTTGTCTTCTCATGAAATACTAGATTTGATGCATAATGTCAATCAATCTCAATGTGCTTGAACTATCTGATAAATATAGGAGAAGAATATTATTGAATTATGTATCAACATTATTACATCGAAACACTATTTATATACACTACAATACAAGATATATTAACTATTCCTATTTCAATAACTAATTCCTATTCTAGGATTGTATAAACATATTCCTATTCTAACAATAATAACATTAGAAGAAAATACAAAGAAGCAGCAAAAGTAAACACGTATTTTGTAGTTTAAGATACAAGAAACAGAAGTCATTGCATTGTGAAAACTGATTCGAAAATACAAAAGAGATTGACTAAGTTACTTATTAGACAAATAAACAACAGTATGTTGTACGGTAAATCATAAGCTTTTCTTCTGTCCCTTATTTTGGTTTAGCTAATAAGAAAAGAATAGTTAGAATGTAGAGAAAGAGCAGGGCCAGGACTCTGATCTAGAGCACAAACAATACTTACTAGGGGTAGGCACCTAAATTATTTTAGATCACTCAAAGATCAGCACAATGGTTCAAGCATCTAAAATTTCCTGTACACTTAGTAGCTACAGAGAGCAAACTTTTCAACAGCAGAACGAAGTAACTAGGTTTATACAAAACGTCCTGTCAGAAAAGATTTCCCTATTAGAAATACAGCACATGAGATTTCATTGTTCACCTTGACCAAGGGCATTCTGACGACTACTTGCAGGATTTGGCTGAATAAGATTTTGAGATCTTCTTGTCTCCACGATCAACATCTTTGAAGATATCTTTTGAAGATAATCTTGCTGCATTATTAGATAAATACAAGTTAAAATACATACAACATAGTGTTGGCAAACAGTATGCAGGGTATAGTGTACGCAGAATCGCAGACCTTCAGATGAAGTAAAACATCTCAAAACAGCAGTTTAAACAAGAAAATAAATAAATTAAGCTCTTAATACTAAACTTCCTTAGGCATGCAAACAGCAACATACTGAATCTGGGGAGGATAGAGTATATGCAGACCTTAAACCTACCTTATGGCGGTTCCTTGGGTGAGCAAAGACATTAAAATTAGATCTAATTATTTTTATGTGGTGGTCAGTTCCAAAAATTAGTGTAAAAAGTAGACTCTGTGAATCTATGTTGGTTACTCAATTATGAAATTATTTAATTTAATTCCATATAACTTAACTATTTCCATTTTGTGTTGACAAATATATAGTGAGTACTCTTGGGGAATTATAATTAATATGATACTATAATATTAACGTGTGAGAAAAATCTGTCAATATGCAAAATTAACCCTGTTTTTTTGGTCTTATCATCACGTAATAGGTATTTTACATAAATAAATTATCAATTAATAAAATTTACTGATCTCATCCTTAAGATGAACTGATATTCCATTTCCATATTATAAGAACATTGATGAAAGTAAATATAAGTGCATCCAAGTTTTTATTTTTTTAATGACAACAATGTCTTAATAAAAATGCTAAAATAGTGACTAATGTGTTCGTTTAAAAGTGTGGAATTCTACATAAACATAATGATATGGGTGGGGGATTGAAATCTTTGCAGGTTTGGCATACAAGCGCACCGTACTGCTCTGCTTGCCATCCCTAATACAATGCGTCTAGATGACAGGAAAGACAAATGCAAGTTTATACAAGCAGAAATAACATCAATGAAGTGGAGAACAAATTGCATTATTCATGTTGAAGAATCCCACATCGGGTAAAAATGGGATGGGTGGTTTCAAGGAGAACAAAATGCATCAAGAGTCCCACATCAGATGAAAAAGGGAGGGGCGGTTTCCCTATAAGGTCTTGGAAATTACCCCTGCCCTCATGAGCTAGCTTTACAATTCGAACAAATAGAAACAAGTTTAGACTACATACCTGACTTGTAGCAGTAGGATATATCTTTTCTTCAAACGTCACTGCAATTTCCTTAAGCTCCTGTACTCTTTCTTGCCCAGAGACAGAAACATGTCTCTTTAAGGTCTCCATTCTATACAACCATATCAAAAAAAGGTCACCATAAACTCTTGATAGGAGCACAATCTAGATAAATACTTCTCAAATATATTAAAAATAACTCGACATCACGCCCCTGCTACAAAAGACTAAAACTTGCTTCCTCTAAACAAATATTAGTAGTTATAATCCAATTAGCTCCAGCAACAACCTGTCATTTCGACATATCAAGAACAAAGTCTTGATAAGATCACAATCTAGATATATGATTCTCAAATATATTAAAAATAATTCGACATAACAGTTACCCTGCTGCAACCTACTATTTCGACATATCTAAAACAAAACATAAAGCACGTAAAACTAGGTTTTCCCACTTAAACTAGTCCCTAGACTGATTACCACCACAGCACCCCCACCCCCAACAACAACAACATACCTAGTATAATCCCACGAGTGGAATCAGAGTGTACGTATACGTTACCCCTTGACTGATTACCAAAATTGGAAATATCTAGGGCATAAACTTACAATAAACTCACTCAGTACCAGTAACAAAAAAATCCCAAAATTCACTTGATAAACTGAGTTCCCATAAAACAGAAAGAAACTGAAAAACCATGTATCAGATTGATTAAACAATACTTCTAACAGAGTGGGATTTCTTCAGAAAACCGATGAAACACAAAAAAAGGAAAAAAACCTAAAATTCAAAATTCCAAATCCAAAATCCAAAATCTTTTAACAAATTAAAGAGCAAGTCGCAAAACCAAAAATAAAAAAAACTTACATCATGTTGCCAATCCTTTGACGCAAATCAGGCAAAAGTTGAGTCCGCCAATCACCGGAATCCATAGCTCTGGCAGCCGTTTCGCTACCTTCACCGCCTCCCGGAGCCTGAGCCTGAACGGCCCTCCAATTATTTCAATTCATATCAATTCCAGACCAAAAATCCTTAATCCACAATCGAATATCACAATATTTCGATGAAAACTCAACTACAGCTAGGATCCGAGTGTATATAAGGAACCAAACTCCCAAAGTCTGAGAGCCATGTATGGTTCTCAACTGTTACAGTATGTCGAAAATAGCCCTTAATTATATATTTATCGGATTTAGTATTTTAATTATTTAAAATATTATCAAATTTAGTCTTTAACTTTAAACTTTTAGCTCCTTAACTCTACACTTATAAGTTTTAGTCCTCTAAGTATTCAAAATATTATATTTTGTCTTTGTCTATTTTTTTTATATAAATAGCTTGTGTTTATATTAACCATACTCATCTTTCTGTTGAAATTAAATTCTTAACTCATTTTTCTAGTTATTTCTCTCTCCTCACTATTTTTTCTTTAAATTACTCTTACGAAAAGAACCTTAATCTTAACGATTTAAAATAAAATTACTGATAAAAGAAGATTAAGTCCTTATTTTATTTAATGGAGGATAAAATGAAGCATATTATTGTTGCTTATGAGTGGAATATGTTATGTTCCCTTCTTTGCGGTTAACGGTTCATAATTAGTGTGATTTTTTAAAATTTTATTTTTCATACCAAAAAAAAAATGAGATTTAATCTTATTACTCAAATTTCTCTACGTCAAATATAACGAATAGAATAATAAATTCAATATAATTCAAAATTTAAAAAATTTAAACAAAAATTGCAAATCTACCATTTTCTAAATTTCAACTTCTAAAAAATTAAACAAATTATCTTCAATAAAGTCATCGGAGTACAAATTTTGAAATCAAAACATCTGAGTAAAGAACTTTTAATTTTTTTCTCATTACAAAAAATAATTATTTCTGTTAAATATAAATAAAATTGCTCCTCACACTTAAGGGGTAATAACTTTTTTTGTAATATAATAAGTTCTAGCATATTCAAGTCATTAGCAACAATAATATACTTTATTTTACATCAATTGAATAAAATTAAGATTTATATCTTCTTTCCTCATTAAATTTATTTTGAAATTTTGAGGTTAAAGTTCTTTACATAAGAGTAATTTAACCAAAAAAAAGTAGCAGGGAGAGACAAACAACTAAAAAAATAGGTTAAAATTTTAATTTCATGGAGGTATGAGTTTCGTAAATGTAAACCTAAGCTATTTGTATAAAAAAAAATTGACAGATATCAAACCTGATAAGTTTTTAAATATTTAAAGGACTAAAATGACTAAAAATGGTAAGTATATAATTAAAGACCTAACTTGATAATTATATCTGATAATGTATAATTAAAGGACTATTTTGGACTTACTCCAATAGTTTAGGGACTATTATGGCGTTTTCTCCCCAAAGTCTCAATTTATTCATCCATATATAGTAATAATAATATATGACTAATACCAACATGTCTATCTCTTGTGTTCAGTTGTCATTAACTCAAAATCTTTGGCCTCACTAGTGAACTCTATTTTAAGAAATGTTTGATATAATGAATTTGTTCGTGCTTTCCATAATATATTAGAAGTTTTAAAATAATTTTTTAATGATTTGAGTAGAGACGAAAGTGATAAAATTCTCGTTGCTTGAGTTGTCATATAATTAAATATATTTCTTTTAGTAAAACACGTGATTTTCTTGAGTAAAGGTTATGTATTGGCACAAAAAGAATGACTAGTATAGTGGTTAGCAGTAGTAACTGAAATATTAGAGTCGTTAGTTTTATTTGTTATATATAATGACCTTATTGACCCAATAAAAAGAGTTACAGCTGCTTCGATTATTTCTAATGCAAATAAAGGGAAAACTGTGTAGTAAAAAAAAAATATAAAATTCGTTGTCAATCCTTATTTGCAGGTCGGCCACTCTGTTTTCTCCATAAAATTATCCTTAGTTTGGGGGTTTCCTCGTCCATAGAGAAACTTTCAGCAATCATGAATTAAATTGTAATAAATTAAGTGATCATCGTATATGTAATTTCTTTCACTAATGAAATTAGTATATATAAGTAATGACCTGGTATTTAAATTTCATACAAATCTTTGGTAATGTAGAATGATAATAAATTTTACATATATAACAGAGTTCCTAGTTATTTTAATAGAGAAACTTGCGATTCAATTTTCATATTACTTGTCTCCAAAAAAAACATTTTGACGGAATTTCTCATTGTAAATTCTTATTAGGAGATTGACTACTCTATTTTTTTCCATAAAATAACGCTTAATTTGAGGGTTCCTCGTTGATAGAGAAACTTCTTGCATTTATAAATTAAATTGTTATAAATTAAGTGATATTCATATATGTAATTCGTTGCAATAACGTCAGTATACTAAGCAATGACCTGGTATTTAAATTTGATATAAATCTTCGATAATGTAGAATGAAAATAAACTTTAAGGGTTCATAATTATTTTAACAGAGTAACTTGTTGTTCAATTTTCATAATAATTGTCTCCAAACAATATTTTGATGAAATTCCTCATTGTCATACCTTATTAGTAGGTCGATACTCTATTTTTCTCCATAAAATTATGCTTAATTTGAGGGATCCTCATTGATAGAGAAACTTCCTGCATTCATAAAGTAAATTGCAATAAATTAAGTGATCGATATGTATGTAATTCATTGTAATAACGAACAATATACATAAGTAATGCCTTATATTTAAATTTGACGCAAATCTTCAATAATGTAGAATAACTGATTTGAATCCACCCCATGACATGTTTAGATGACAAATCAAGTTAGCTCATCATCTTGACCATGTTCTCATCACGCTCTTGGTTCTTTTCCATTTGTTCCTTGCCCATACACAACTGTAGAGAAGACACTTGGTCCTCCCTAGTATGCCATGCTCGGCTTATCTTGGTCATGTCACCAAGCAACATTGTTACCACATTAAATGGATGTCGCATTAACCATCCTTAAATGAATTGATCAACTAACTCTTTGTTCAATGTATCAAGGCTACGATAGAAATATTGCAACAACAAGTTGTCCGAAACACCATGTTAGGCATTGCAACAATAACTTTTGAAATCGCAACCAAGTTTCATGGATAGGGTCACCATCCACTCTTTTGAAATTTTGGATGCTATCTCTAAGTTTCGCCGTCTTTAAAAGAGGGAAAAATATTTCAAGGAACACCTCTGTTAGTTCCTCCCACGAAGCTATTGAATTTTGTGGTAGTTCAGTCAATCACTTGGTTGCTTATCCCGTTAAGAAAAAGGAAAACAACCTCAAACGAATGGATTCTTGAGAAATATTCTTGAAGGTGAAAGGTCCACAAGCATCCACAAAGTTTCTAAGATGTTCATTGGGGTCTTCATGAGTAAGACCTCCGAATATCCCTCGCATTTTGAGCAATTGCAACATTGTTTGGGTTACATGAAACATAGCTCTTCTAGTAATAGGAGGTAACCGGATTGCTCATGTACTCTCGACGACATTAACATCCATGTTGTCCATATCTCCAATGTTATTGTTTTGCCTATAATTTCTAGAATCATCACTTTCATTTATACTCATATTTTCACCTGCAAATGGGACACAACAACAACACCAAACAAAAATGTGTACTACTACAAACAAATAAGCTTAAAAATTAACTTCACAAATTGAATTCTTAGCTACCACTCCCTAGCTATGCCACCATTTTTGATAATACTAAAATTACTCACAAAAAACAATTAAATGAGTAAAAATTGCCAGCAAGATAAATATCCAACAATAGGGTCGGGATCAAATTCCACGGGAAGGGATCTAAAAGTAAGAATTCAATGAGGAAATAAAAAATGCAAACCAATTAATTGTAACTATTAGGACAAGTGGATGGATGATTCCACCAAATTTAAGAAAAGGATTTTGAAATCAATTATCACAATTAAACTAAAAACAAGATTTAAGCAAGTAAAAGACTATCTAGGGGGTGGAAGTTGGTATCAACGTCAACTAGGGGTATGAATATTTACTCAATAATGCTAGACAAACATGGATAGACTAGTAATTGTTAACGACACAAATCTTCTTTCGATCTCAATGCATAATATAATAGAATCTCCTTTAGGTCTCATCCATGTAAAATACAAATCAACCCAATATCTTACTAATATTTCTCTTTCGAGCAGATTTGACAATTAGAATCGAAACTACAACTTCTCTTTCGAGCCAACTACAACAATCAAACCCAATTTGCAAGTATTAAGCTATTTAACCACTTCAATTAATCTCTTTCGAACATCTATCTAAGATCTAAGCTATGATTAAGTTGGCAATATTAACCCATAAATTGCCCCGTGCTAAATAACTCAAATACATGAATAAATAGAAGAAAAACAAGGCAAGACACTAGACCTACTAAATTAAATAAACACTCAACTTCATAAACACACCTCTAGAATTGGGTTTTAGCCAAATATCATAAAAGGAAAATAAATTATACCAATTATGTTTTCAGGCATCAAACTGTTGATAATTAGCAATAATCTTCAACATCCACTTTGAATTAAACCTTCAATTGCCAATTATAAGATTATTCAAAACCCCAAAACTCTATGGAGTAAAGTTTCTAAGCTAATATTCAAAAGTTTTCTCTCACTATCAAAAAGCTACATTTTCTCTCTCATTTGGGTCATTTATAATTTTCCCAAATATTAATTCGAAATTTCATACATGACATGACTGGTGACATTAGTCGGGCTCGCTTACTTGATCAGTGAATCACCATTCTATGTCTCAGCTCATTCTTTCTTGGTTTCAGGTGTTTTGACCTCAGTTGGTGAACTCGATTGAGTCAACCTTTCACATCGGTGAATCGCCAATGATCACCTTTTTCACCTATTTTAGCCTTTAATTTTTTCCAGTCTCTTATCACTTTATGCAATGGACATTTACTTTGCCCAACTGTTTCGGTGAATTGTCGTTTGTTCCTTACTTCGCCAACCTGCCTTCAATATTATCATAAGAGAACAGTGTCACCTTAGGCGAGGTTTAGTCACTTTGGGTGATCCGCCCATTGTATTAGGCGGTCCTCAATTGGGAGTTTTCACTCTTTTCAATATTTTTGGCCTCTTTATTATATATTCATCCTTTCCTAGTCCTTTAACCTT